CCCAAACACTCCGTCTACACGTTGGCCATTGCTACTGGCCACTACATTCGCCACTGTGTTGGCCAACGTGTAGAGGCGCCGTAACGCGAATAAGCAGAATAACTGCTATTGCAAGAACGACATACACAACTGTGCTTGCCACAGAGTACCTTTATATATACCTACTGAATGCTTGCCCCCCCCATATACGCCTGTAGATATTTGATACGTTTAATACTATTCAAAATCACGAAAAAGCAACTGCAGGAAAACTAAGGTTTTGTATTTAGAGGGGCGCCACTATAAGATCTCGTACCACCTCAAAATTTTGCTAGGGCCGCCACTGAGTGTGAGCTCGTAAAAGACTATATGTACGTGGTAGCGTCACGTAGCAGTTGTATTATGGTTGTGGCACGTATGGGTCGAATTGACCGGGAAAGGACCACGCTCTCACATAGCAGGTACCAGCGTAAAGTAACAACTTAATGGTGCTGTGTTTCGTATGGTGTGTGTAAAGAAGATCTTAATCTTCGGGGGTGACAACGCATCTGTATTTTGATTCTTAGTCGAGGATAAAAAGTTCTGCACTTGATTATGGTCTTTTACTTTGGGGTACTTACCCAACAGTACACTTGAGGAGGGATATAAAGGCCTTAACAGCATGTTAAGGCCTTTATCTCCCAAAAGAAATGTATTCAAACTATGCATGCTTTGGCAGCAGATACGTACTCGTATGTCATGTAAACCGTATTTTAAAAAATTACACATTTTGACGCTACCATGTATTTATGTACATCTTAAATTTAGTCCGTTATGTTAAAAATAATATTCGTTTGTTCACAAAGTTAAGGCCGAATACGACGCGAATGACCTTGCTCGTTTCGCAGCAAACCACACGCCGCCATTACCTACGTTTTGTTTATTTAGACATGTATAATACCTATAATCAAAGCCGTACGGGCTTTGATTATATTTCACTGAGCTAGCTCAGATGTAGAGTAATGAACAACACAGAGAGCATTGCTTACTTCTTAAATAAATTTTTCTTATTTATAATACTAATTCCTATAGATTATAAATTCTGTACTTTATTCGTTATAAAATATTGTTCGAAAAGTTATTGAATTGATAACGATTTTTTTTCTTAATTGGTGCATCGTACGTAAAGAACCTCATATAACTGAAAATGTTTGTTCTTGTGAGTCTTACAAGATGCCGTAATGCAAATTGCATAAATAATAAAGAAAAAAAACTAAAAAGTCGGTGATTGCCCCATAGTGGGGATAGGTACTGTGTATGTAAATTCTCACAAGACTACTCCGACTGGTCAATCTCTTCACATCCGAAGTATTTCGGTTTTTCTTAATTATATACTTTTACCCCATGCTTTCGGACAATACATTGACTGATATTATTTGCAGTCTCTGTGCTTGCACTACTCTGTACATTCTTTTCCGACTGGGTCTTGATATTTTACATTTTTAGTGTTTCTCACTTGAAACTAGAAAAGTATAAATGATCAGTTTGGCTAGTGACAATGAATAATAAATATTATAATAAATCCTTATTAATATTCCTTACTTCTATTCCTTGATTTTACATAGTTTGTGCTGTTCCGCTTATCCAAGATTGATTCACTTTCACCCTAAGGTTGCCCGGGAGGAGATTGCTTTTTAGCAATAAGGTCGCCTGTTATGCTTTGTATTTTTATTGTGTACGAATCTGTAACACTTTTTATAGTGCAATAAAATGTATAATAAATAAATTAATAATATTATAAATGAGAAAGTGTGTATGTTTATTTCTTTGTCCTTACTTGACGCGTTAACTAAAAATAATATTACATATATTATAAAAAATAAATATTTAAAATATATAAAAATGGCAACAGTATATCACTTATTACTTCACCCCTTGCCAGAACATTTTATTTTGTTTTTATTAATAATCTCATGCAAATCTCAAAAATTTCAAATAAAAAAATATTACGACGCATTATTTTGCACACCGTACATTGACAATTACGTCATCGGCCCAGGTCTCAAGTTAATTCGTACGAGTTATATCTAAATATGGCTTATGGCAGGTATGAACTGTTAGGTTAAATTTAGAATTGGGTTGTGTATTTTTCCGTATAGTAAAAGGTACGTACACCATCAAAAGAACACTGGGACTTAGCACAAAGAGTGGTGACGATGGACAAAATCCATTGGGCCATTCATAGTTTCCAACCCTATAAGGCAGCACAGGACTTTTCGGCTTATTCCCGGCACTTCTGCAGTGGGGGGGGGGGGTAAAGTCCTAACAGTCAGACTTGTTGCCATAATAAGAGCATGTTTGGCTCTTAAATATGTTCCTAGGGGATGGAGGGAAGTGAAAGTCACGTTCATACCCAAACCAGGTAAGAACGACTATACAGACCCTAAATCCTACAGACCCATTAGCCTCACATCCTTTCTCCTAAAGACGATGGAGCGGATGTGTGAACGGAAGTTGAGAGGGTCGGCGCTAATTAACATACCGCTACACGAAAAACACGCCTATAGCTTAGGTAGGGTTCTTTCACCTCTCCTGTGGAATATGGTCATTAATGAACTCATCAGCAAATTAAACGCTAACAATTTCTACACAGTCGGTTATGCAGATGATCTGACAATACTGGTCTCTGGAAAGACAGCAAGCATTGTGTGCGACCTGACCCAAGAGGCTCTCCATATTGTGGAGAGATGGTGCAGGGAATATGACTTAACCGTTAATCCAAACAAAACGGTTATAGTAATGTTCACACAAAAACGAATGCTGAATCACTATCATCTTCCAAGTCTTTTCAGCACAAAACTCCAGCTTTCCTCCGAGGTAAAATACCTAGGTCTTACCTTGGACAGTAAACTTAACTGGAATAAACACATAGAAAACAAAATCAACAAAGCTAGTTTAACTTTCTGGCAATGCAGAAACATGATTGGCAAACAATGGGGTTTGACGCCAAAAATTATACTGTGGCTGTACAAAACTGTAATTCGGCCCATGATCACATATGGCTCTCTGGTATGGTGGACCAAAACCACTGAAGCCACCACTTAACAAAATCTTCAGTGTTACCAGATATCGGCTTGTATGGCTGCCACGGTCTGCATAAGAGCTACACCAACAGCAGCTTTGGAGGCTATGCTGGAGCTAACACTGCTTCATCTACATATACAACAAGAAGCAACTTTAGCTGCTATTAGACTCAAGACCCTAAATCTTTTAAGTAAGAGTCGAGTCCCCCATACAGATATAATTGATAGAATTTACTCAAAAATTCCTATTACAAGCCAAGTATGATAGAATCCCAAAACAATTTGTATTTGATAAGAAGTACAGGATACAATTGAAGGAAACTGACCATCTGGAAGGATTGGGTCAAAGAGAGCTCAGTTTTCATGTATGGTTCTAAGACAAATGAAGGTGTGTGGTCTGGGGCTTTCTCTGAAGATCTTAATATCCACATATGCACACCGCTGGGTACCCACAACACAGTCTTCCGGGCTGAATACATGGGTATCATCCAAGCGGCTATAGCAATAGATGCTAGGAAGGTGAAAGACTTCTTCATCAGAATACTGACCGACAGTATGGCGATACTACAGGCTCTGAGTTGCAAAGTGACGAACTCGGGACTGATATACGAATGCCATCAACGATTGAATGAGGTGTGTAAGCACAACAATGTGACTGCAATGGATCAAGAGACACAGTGGATCTAGAGGCAACGATGCAGCAGATGAACTGGCCAGACGGGGATCAGCTCTGGCAACTACAGGGTCAGAACCAATAATACCGATCTCCTTTGGCTACATTCGTTCACTGGTATGTAGATACTTCAATAATTTACACGCTCAGCTTTGGAAAAATTTAGTAGACTGTAGACAAGCTAGGGAGGCCCTGCTTGAAATAAACAGTCGTCTAACCAAGGTTCTAATGAGACTGAACAAGCTACAGTTCAAGATAGTAACAAGTGCTATCACAGGACATGGCTCTTTTAACAAACATTTGTTCGCCATAGGTGTTACTGATAGTCCCCTGTGCAGGGCATGCATGGGAGAGGAAGAAACGGCGGCTCACGTGTTGCTGACATGTCCAGAAGTCACTTCATACAGGGCTAAACATCTCGGCACGCCGGGATCGCTCCCCGAAGTTGACGCACGCAAAATACGCGCTTAGACGTGGAGTTGCGGAAAACAGCCCGTCGTAAACTAACTAACTAACTAAGAATCCACTACAATAAGTCATTCCACAGGTGTCATATGAGAGGGAACACGGGGAAATAAAACAGTTGAGCAGCAGCATCTTCCAGATAACGAATAATAACCAGCTGTGATTGCCAACCCTGCTAAGCCTGGTAACTGTGACAAATATCTCCACTTTGAAACAATTTACAGGGCAGATCAATTTTCAGCAGTTGACATTAATTTGATATGCTGTTATGATTATGATGATGATTCTTATATATTAATCTATGCATGATTCTAGTAGGCAAGACTGGGATTGTTCCATACACACAATTAAATTAAACATTAGAAATGTAATTGCTCATTATTCAACTGCTTACAAAGAAAAGAATAATTAGAGACAAAAGGTGTTTTAATTTTACTTTAAATTTACTTTTTATACATTTATTTGTAAATTAAATTTATGTTTATATATGCCTGCTTCTTTGTTATAGGTCCTTTATGCAATCCTATACCAATCATCCAATTACGAAACTTTGGTAAGTTGTGTTTGCAAATGTTTCTGACAAAAGAGATATTGCAATGCATGCATGGCATATATAGTACTAGATGATTTTTAAAGATTACGGATCTTCATTAAAAAAAACTGTAGATAAAACGACAAAGAAAATGCATTAAATGAAATTGATTAAAAATTATATATGAGTTTTAACACTTTATTTCATTAATTCATTGAATTTACTAAAAATAAGTATGTTTTTGGGTTATAATATAAATTAAAATCATTAGCCAAATATTAAATAAGCCCTATTGTTCTAGTGTTTCCTTAACTGTGCTTTGTATTTCTGAATCTTCAACTGGTTTACTTTCAATTTTTTCATCTATAACTGTATTTTCTTTGGTGTCCCCTGCTGACTGAGAGGAAATATCTGGTGGTATTTGTTGCAACTCTGAATTGACATCGCTAATTGAGTAATTGTCTGATTGCATTGCAACTTGCAGGGCATTATCAACTGTTGGATTTGTTACAGTTGCTTCATTAATTGGCTCTTGCTCTTTTATGTCTTTTGCTGCTTCTTTACTATTGTTGGCTATAATTGACTGAGCTTGGATGTCAGTCTGCGAATCAGGGTCAGTTTTCGGGGAGTTACTATTACCGTCTGTGTTGTCACTAGATGAACTTTCTTCATTTGAAGTTGAAACTTCAGAAATTATTTTGGGTTCAGCAATATTTTCTTTGCCAATGGAATTTAAACAACTATCTTCATTTATAGCTTGAGGAGAATCTTCTGCAATTTTATGTTCATCACACTCTTTATCACTTGCACTAATATTTGAGTGTGAAACACCTTCATCAGGTTTGTTTTCTTTTTGTTCAGTTATATTTGCTTCATCTACTGTTACTTCTGGTATCATTAAAACATTGGGCACCACTTCTGATTTCATTTCAACATCTTTGTTTTCTGATGATGATGAAGTAATATTTTTTAATATATCACTAGTTTCTTCAGTAACTGGTACAGAATCGGAGACTAACGTTTCACTAGGCTTATTTTCTATTATCTGTGTGTTTGTGCTGATTGTTGATGTGTTTTCTACTGGCGCTTTAGATTCACAGGGAGTGTCAGTTTTCTCAAGAGTATCCATTGGAGTTTCTTCTTTTGATTGAAGTGGTGTTTCACTATTATCGATAGAAATTTGTATATCTGAGGAACTTGGTTGAGGTTCCGTATTTTGCTGATGGTCTGAATTCTCCTTCCAAGACACATCTTCCATTTCAACATCTACATTATATTCAGAATTATTATCTGAGCCATTTACTATTGGTTCAACTGGCTCACCATTCTCAGGTTCTATGTGACGCTGAGTACCGGGTTCCCGAGTGCTGACAACTAAAATATTCTTCTCAATCGCTCTCATAAACTTATCCACACGGTTATACTGTTTACGCGGATACGTTAGAAGTTCGCAAATTCTCTGAACAGTAAAAGGCGCTGATGTAAAAGAATCAAGTCTTTCCAATAAGCTATTTTTCATGATGTCGTAATTGAATGGATCCACATTTGGATATGGTGGAATATCAATACCTGGTGTTGTCTCATAGAAATCAGTAATAACATTCAAGAGCTTTTCTTTAAACAAACTTTTTACAAGAGACCATTGATACACAGGATCGCCGGTTCGCGCTACATACGCTAAATAGTCGTTCAACTCTTGCGGTATTGTTTTAGGCTTACGTTTTGAGAATTCCTCCAAAAAATGAAAAATTTCTTCAGCATTTTCCATTTTCTTAATGCAAGAACAATTATTTGTCGTAATGGAATATATGATACAAACAGACACAACACAGAGCACAGACCATAGATTACTGACACAGAAGAACATGCACAGACACAAAAGAATACAGATAACCACAGATAACAGAGACTACGAAATACAAATCCACAAATCATTTTTTCATTAAATTTTCGGCATGGATGCTTGTTTTTTAAGCCATATTCCATAAAACTTTTTTTTAATAACTAAGATCTTTGCTCCTCCTTTAAATCATGTCTATTTTATTCGGGATCTTGGTTTTTATAGATTTTAACAGATTGCAAAGCTTTTGTGCAGATTTTTACGACAGCTCGACTCAGCTCGATCACAGAATACCTTTGCATAAACAGAAGGTTGACAGGCACTCAAGTTCATAAGACGCGTAGATAGAGAATCTTCATCATCATCATCATCATTACAGCCCTTCACAAGTCCACTGCTGAACATAGGCCTCCTGCAAGTAATGTCACAAAGCACGGTCCTGAGCCGCCTGCATCCATTGACTTCCTCGAGAACTCCGAGACTCGCCACTCGAGAACCTTTCTTCCCATCGGTTATCGGTTCTTCGAGCTATATGGCCAGCCCATTGCCACTTCAGCTTACTAATCCGTTGGGCTATGTCGGTCACTCTGGTTTTACTACGGATATGCTCATTTCTGACTCAATCACGCAGAGAAACTCTGAGCGTAGTCCTCTCTATAGCTTGCTGAGCAACCTTGAGCGTCCTCATACGGCCAGCAGATAGAGAATGCTGTAGACAAATTGATATCTCTTCTCGCAGTCACACAAGAGAGAGAGAGCAACTTACGCCGATATCGTGTTTAGAATTGCAAAAGAACGATGAGGTTTTTTTGTTTCGCTGAGCGTACCACGTTTTTCATGGTTAGCACATTACTTTGCTATACAGAGTTTGACAGCTAACGTGTAGCGAGATATCGCCTTTTGATAAAATACAGTTTTGCGTGCTTTATGTCATGTATTTCGTAAAATATTTTGTTGTGAACAATTTAGACTTAGTATTTCAACCATTTTTTTAAAATTATGGTGCGGTATAATGTTTTAGGGTGTAAAAGTGATAGTGGAACAAAAATGCCAGGGTTGTCGTTTCAATCATAAGTATACAACTCTTTATCTGTTACTACGCATTCTGTAACATTTTATAAAATTCATATATTGTATATAATGGATAAATGAACTACTTTAGACGTAAATTTATCGTTAAAAAAGCACAAAAATAAAAATTGTAAATATTAACCTAAAATCTTTGGTGTTGCCAAATTTTGTATAAACTATTATCCGCTATTATAGGAAATAATACTATGCTATATTAGTATTCTGCAGTGTCTATAAAATAAATATCAGAAAGATTTAATGGCTTGTTGCAGTTTTCCTGAACATGATAATTTACGTCGGAATTGGATTATAGCTCAGGACGAAGAGATTGGACACCAAAACCGTCATCGAGAGTTTGCAGCAAACTTTTTAAGGATAAAATGTTAATAAAAAAGAAGAAACTTACTCTGCTATTAGCTAATGCTGCACCTATTCCGGTAAATATTCAGTAAATTACATATTAAGTTTCAATCCAGATTTTTATGTATGTTTAGTGTTTTTACAACTATTTACCACAGTTACCGGGTTAGACGCAAACATTGTTTTGTGAATTTTATAAACAATAAATGACTGAGACAGGTATCTCTTAGATTCTGAATGCGATTCAAGTTTTAACAATCAATATTAAAACTTGAATCTCGTTCAGAGTTTAAAATATGACATAAATATTACACCCTACATTTAAAACAAGAACTTTAAATTCATTTTTCTGTAAAAAGCAGCTTCCTACACCTATTTTGTATTAATTAACGTTTTAAAGATAATTAAACTTTTTTTTAGGAAACAAAAGCCTGTATTCCATCATCTTCCTACATCAGTTTACACGAAGAAACACTTATGGGAATTAAAAAATATTTTAAGCATTAATGTAAGTAAACAATACTAAATAAAAATTATATTATTTTCCCTCGACCCAATACAGTATTTTGCAGTGTGTTCTACAGTATTAAATTAAATTAGCTCCGTTATAATCTTGGTACATTAATTCATTATCAAGCCGTTTGATCAAGGGATGTTGTCTGATAAATCAAAAGTGTGTTGCGGATTTAACATACAAATTACTTGATTTCAGATTGATCCTGCTGTTTACCTACTGCCGTCAACTAGTGGTCAAAAGCAAGTTGAAATAGTAAGCCCTCCAATTTCTAAACAACTGTCAATAGTATTACAACCAGAAAATATTGTGTCTGTAGTAACAAAGCTAGGGTTATTAAACGGTTTTTTGGGTTTTAGGACTAGATTCCAGAATACACTCCTCAAACGTTGCGAAAGAAATGGAAACACTCGAATAAACTATTATCTGAACGGCTGAAGAAATTAAAGTGTCTTAGAGAAAAAAGTAGGCGTTTATCAAAAAAGTAGCTTAACTAGAAAATATTATTGCAGAACTTAAAGTATTCGATAAGTGAAGAAGATTATTTATTGTTGATTTAGTGGAATCTGTTGACCCTGCCAATAGAGACTTCTTGAAAAAACATCTACCCGTCTCCAGTGGTAGAAAATATTCACCATCTTTACGCAAATTCGCTCTTTGCTTGCAATTTATAAGTCCTCAGGCTTACAAGTACGTACAACAACAATTTAATACTTGTCTGCTTAATTCATCTACACTTACCACATGGTACAAAAGTGTAGATGCAAACCCAGGCAATAACCCAACAGATTGGTTAGAATCTTTGAGTATTCAACCAACTGGAGAGGCCATGCGCGTTAATTCCTAAACAAAAATTCTGTCAACATCAGGGGGGCGCAAGAAAAACACACAACTGTATACTTTACTACAAATGCAAAATTAAATCGCGTCACTATAAACGCACACTACAGCATTTGTGTTTGTGTTCATCGCGTTTACGCACACCACAAATTGTACACGTGTCGATATACTGACGGCGCTGTCTAAATGCGTAAGCAACGTAAGGATTATGTCGATATTTTTATCGATAAACAAATCACCAACGTCCGCATAAGTTTTTATTTGATAATAAGTAATACATAGATAAATAATACCAAGGTGTTATTTGAAATTATTTTCTTTTAAATATTTAAAAATGATCTTCGAAAAAAACTTAGAAATTATTGAAAATAAGTTTATTATTTTGCTATAGGTTTTGCATTATGCAGGATAATCTTTAAAACATTCAACAAACCAAAATAGGAGGTTTAGTTAACTTATTTTGAAAATCAGATTTGTGAAAAAAAGTCATGTCAGTTTATCGTCTCAGATGGTGTTAACCAAGTATTTGTTTTTATTGTAAGGCTTCTATCACAAAACCGCAATTTAAAAAAAAGTTTTTGATTTTCAAGAGTTATTAAATGAACTATTTGGAAAATATTTAATAAATTAGGAAAACAATAAAGTTTTACACTATATAATAGTT